CCAGCACTTTGGGAGGGCAAGGTGGGTGGATCACCAGAGGTCAGGAGTTCGAGACCAGCCTGGCCAACATAGTGAAACCCCGTCTCCTAAAAATACAAAAATTAGCCGGGCGTGTAATCCCAGCTACCGGGGTGGGAGTCAGGGGCTGAGGCAGGACAATCCCTTGAACCTGGGAGGTAGACGTTGTAGTGAGCCAAGATCGTGCCACTGTGCTCCAGCCTGGGCAACAGAGCGAGACTCTGTCTCAAAATAAATAAATAATAAATAAATAAACCAAAAAACAGCTCATTCAGGTGTTCAACAGAATCAGCTACTTGCAGTTATAGAACTGAGGCCCCCACTTTCTTGCTGGCTCTTGTCTCAGGTCACTCTTGGCCCCTAGAGGCTACTCTTAGGTCTTTTCCACCTGATTCCTTCAATGTTCAAGCCCGCAATGCCGCATCAAACCCTTCTCATGCTTCAAATCTAACTTCCCCTTCTGCTACCAGCAAGAGAAAACATTCTACTTTTAAAGGGCTTGTGTGAGTAGATTAAGCCCACCAAGATGATCTCCCTGTTGACGAACTCAAAGTGAAATTGATAATCGGTAATCTTGTTTTTTTGGGTTTTTTTTGTTTTTGAGACGGAGTTTCACTCTTGTTGTCCAGGGTAGAGTGCAATTGTGCAATCTTGGCTCACCACAACCTTCACCTCCCGGGTTCAAGCGGTTCTCCTGCCTCAGCCTCCCAAGTAGCTGGGATTGCAGGCATGAGCCATCACACCCGGCTAATTTTGTATTTTTAGTAGAGATGGGGTTTCTCCATGTTGATCAGGCTGGTCTTGAACTCCCAACCTCAGGTGATACCCCCGCCTCAGCCTCCCAAAGTGCTGGGATTACAGGCATAAGCCACTGTGCCCGGCTGAAATTGGTAATCTTAAATTAGAAGCTAATGTTAATCTCCTTTGGCAATACCCTCACAAACACACCCAGGATCAATACTTTGCATCCTTCAATCCAATCAAATTGACACTCAGTATTAACCATCACACCCCACCCCCAAATCCTGATTCACAGTCCTGAATTGTTTTATGCCACCAAGTTTTGGGGGGAAATATGTCACACAGCCACAGTAACTGAACCCTCAATTTCTTCCTCTCTACTCTCCAGCTCCCCTGCTTCTCCCTTTTGCTCTCCCAACCCTTCCCAACTCCCTGCATTAAATTCCTTCTGTTGAAATGCCTAGGGTAACTTGTCTTTCTGACCGATCCTTATTGATCCATTTCTTCTTTTTCTTTTCCCTTTTTTCAAACCCCATATTTTCACCATGTCCCCCTTTTCAAACCCCGTATTTTTTTCATTTCCCCCTTCTCAAACCCCATATTTGTCCAGACTCTGGGGCAGCCATGATCCATAGGAGAGACTGGAACATTTCTCAACCCCAGGGACTGAATCTTGATTAGGTGAAGTCAATCATGATAAGTCTATCATCTTGCCAGGGATTGGCTGGCTCAATATTGGCCAAGGAGGTATGAGGGGAAGTCTGCTAGGGGATGGGGCTTCTGGAAAGACAAGGATGAGAGGTCCCCCACTTCTGGCTTTGGATATGGTTGTACGAGGCCATGATGCTGCAGCTATGGCCATCATCATGGAAACATGCAGAGGACAGCAGAGGAGAAAGATAGTTTCTCAATGTTTCCTTTGAATCGCTGAATTACTGACCTCTGGATACCCTCTGCTCTACCTCCATTTGTATAACATTAACTTCTTTCTTTCTCCTGCCTCCCTCCCTTGCTTCCTTCTCCCTCCATCTTTCTTTCTTTCTTTCTTTTTCTTTCTTTCTCTTTCTTTTTTTTTTTTTTTGAGACGGAGTCTCGCTCTGCTGCCCGGGCTGGAGTGCAGTGGCCGGATCTCAGCTCACTGCAAGCTCCGCCTCCCGGGTTCACGCCATTCTCCTGCCTCAGCCTCCCGAGTAGCTGGGACTACAGGCGCCCGCCACCTCGCCCGGCTAGTTTTTTGTATTTTTTAATAGAGACGGGGTTTCACCGTGTTAGCCAGGATGGTCTCGATCTCCTGACCTCGTGATCCGCCCGTCTCGGCCTCCCAAAGTGCTGGGATTACAGGCTTGAGCCACCGCGCCCGGCCTCTTTCTCTTTCTTTTCTCTTTCTTTTCTTTTTCTTTCTTTCTTTTCTTTCTTTTTCTTTCTTTCTCTTTGTTTCCTTCCTTCCTTCCTTTACTTTCTTCCTTCCTTCCTTTTTCTTTCTTTCCCTCCCTCCCTTCCTTCCTTTCTTCTTCCCTCCCTCCCTCCTTCCTTCTTTCCTTTCTTTCTTCTCCCTCCCTCCTTTCTTTCTTTCCTTTCTTTCTTTTTCTTTCTTTCCTTCCTTCCTTCCTTTCCTTTCTTCCTTCCTTTCTTTTTCTTTCTTTCCCTCCCTCCCTTTCTTCCTTTCTTCTTCCCTCCCTCCCTCCTTCCTTCCTTGCTTCCTTTCTTTCTTTCTTCTTCCCTCCCTCCTTTCTTTCTTTCCTTCTTTCATCTTTCTCTCTCTCCTTTCTTTCTTTCCTTTTTTCTTCTTTCTCTCTCTTTCTCTCTTTCTTTCTTTCTCTTTCTTTCATTTCTTTCTTTCTCTTTCCCTTCCTCCCTCCCTCCATCCCTTCCTTCCTTTCTTTTTTCTCTCTTTTTCTCGTTCTCTTTTTTTTTTTTTTTTTTTGAGACAGGGTCTCACTCCGTAGCCCACGCTGGAGTGCAGTGACACAATCATAGCTCACTACAGCCTTGAACTTCTGGCCTCAAGTGATCCTCCTGCCTCACCCTTTCAAGTAGCCACCACCATGCTAGGCTAACTTTTCAATGTTTTGTGGAGATGGGCTCTTGCTGTATTGCCCAGACTGGTCTTGAACTCCTGGCCTTAAGCAATCCTCCTACCTCAGACTCCTAAAATCACACGTGATTACAGGCGTGAACCACTGCATCTGGTCCACATTAACTGTTTCTTACTGTATCTGCCTTGGAGCCTTTGCCTTTGCAGTTCCCTGTGCCTGGAATGCCCCCCTCCCCCTCCTCAGACACCTGCATGGTCTTCTCCCTTGCCTCACTTAGGTCTTTATTCGAACGTCACCTTACTGAGGCTCTTACTCACCATATATAAGATCATACCTCTTTGGCAGCATTGCCCATTCTCCTTCCCTGCACTATGATTCCTTCCTAGTACTCACTGATGTGTGATGTATGATAGGTGATATTTATTTATTATGTGTCTCCTCCACTAAAACACAACCTCCATGAGAGCAGAGAATTTTGTCTGTATCACAAGTGTCTCACTTACAAAAAGATGCATAGCTTGTGACTGATAAAGATTTGTTAGATGAATGTTAAATAAATTGTTTCTGTTCTTTTGGCTGGGCTTTCTGTTACTTTCAGTTTTTGTTTTTGAGATGGAGTCTCGCTCTGTTGCCCAGGCTGGAGTGCAGTGGTGCGATCTCAGCTCACTGCAACCTCTGCCTCCCAGGTTCAAGTGATTCTCCTGCCTCAGCTTCCTGAGTAACTGGGAACACAGGCACCCGCCACCATGACCCGCAAATAATTTTTTGTATTTTTAATAGAGACAGGGATTTCATCATGTTAGCCAGGCTGGTCTAAAACTCCTGACCTCAAGTAATCTGCCCGCCTCAGCCTCCCAGAGTGCTGGGATAAGAGGCGTGAGTCACTGTGCCCGGCGGGGGCGGTCTCTTTCAAGCACCCTAGAGCCACGCCATCTAATCTGTCTGGTGCATGGCCTGGAGTGGTTTCTTAGGTAGCCCTCTCTCCCACTGTCAGCCCCCGGTCACTGGGATTACAGGCGTGAGCCACCACGCCCAGGCACTTTCAGCAGAAAGCAAATGGTTCCTGGCATTGTGCCTATGGTGAGCTCCCCAGTGTCACCTCTCCGCTCAGTCCTCTGAGTTCAGTTCTAGATGCAGCATTTGGTCTTATGCCCACCCTGGCTCCCAGACACTGTTGTCGGTATGTCCCCTCCAGGTTCCCCAGTTGAAGAGGCTTAACTTCCTCTAGCCCCAGAGGAAAGAGGACCACATCAGGTCCCTCTTTGAGGTTAAAACGTCAGAAAAAGGAAACTCAGACCACTTGGCATTGTGACATGTGATTCATTCAGATCTGGTTACAGCTGGGAGATTGAGCCCACACAGAAGAGGGGCTCTTCACCCCACCCAAGCCCCCTGCCGGGTCTTGGCCCACGGTAGGGGTGGAGGAGGCTGCCCTGAAAACCTTGGAAGCGGGTGTATTGGATCCTCAAGCCCCACCTTGGCTGCCCAGGATTTTGCTAGACCCCAAAGCGGGAGAACGAAAGAGGAGAAGTGGCTTGTCAGTGTGTGGTAGAAGAGACACATCCCTGGTGTTCGGGAGCAGCCGGATGTTGGGGACCCCCTCGTTTGAAGAAGGAGGCTTAGTCTTTGAGGCCCCCTGATCTAAAGGAAAGAATGTGTAGCTATGGGGATGTCCCTAACGTCTCTAACCTGAGGAAGAAGAACAGCCCTCTTCTGAGAGAGGAGGTTTGGCCTTGGGGAAAGTGCTAATCGGAGGGGGGAGGTACAGCGCCCCCCCCCCTTAGCTGAGCAGAGGTCTGATCTCAGCAGGGGGTGAGTGGCCTTAGTCTGAGGGGGGAAGACACACCCTAGGCTGATGGAGGCATGGCCTTTGGGGCCCTGGTGGGAGGAAAGAGGACTTAGCCTTGAGTAAGCCCTGAGTCTGGAGCAAAAGGTCTGGCTTTGGGAAGCGCTAGTCTGAGGGAGGAAGATCACCCCTACTTCCTGAGTTCCTCACCAGAAGCTTCCAGGTCCGCGCATTGCCCCAGCAGAGGGGCGCCAGGGCACCATCTAGCAACGTGCCGAACAAGCAGGAGGAGGGGGCCTCCTGGACAGCAGGGTGGTCCAGGCGGGATTCCTTAGGACAGCGTCGCGGTCGCCAGGACTACTCCAGAACCGGCAGGGTGAGGCGGAGGCCGCGCGCGGCGCCCGAGGGGCAGTGGGACTCTAGGACGGCGCGGCGGCCGGGGCTGCAGTGGCTGGACAGCCGATGTCTCGATGTCTCGGGAGCACCGAGAGCCCGTGGGTCCAGTCCGGGGCGCTGCACAGGTCTCGGGAGCCGCAGCTGCGTACGCTCACGTTCCGGCCGCCTGCGGAGACGGAGACAGGGTGCAAGGAGGGGACGTGGGGGCGCGCTCAGGCAGAGTGCCTTGCACACTCAGTGTCCGCGAGCCCCTCGAGTCCATGTCCTTCGTGAAAGCTCATGAGGAATGTTCTTTTCCTTGAGCTGGAGGCTGGTCACCGCTGTCTCTCTCATTGTCACTCCTTCTACCTTACACGTATGTTACAGGTGTGTTTTCACTTGTGTGCAATGTTTGTTTCCTTTTTAAATTTTTTTTTTTTTTTTTTTTTAATGAGACAGGGTCTCACTCTGTCACCCAGGCGGGAGTGCAGTGGCACAGTCATGGCTCACTGCAGCCTCGACCTCCTGGGCTCTGGTGATCCTCCCACCCCAGCCTCCTGAGTAGCTGCGACTACAGGTTGTACCACCAGGCCCAGCTAATTATTTTGACAATTTTTTTTTTTTTTTTGAGACGGAGTCTCGCTGTGTCGCCCAGGCTGGAGTGCAGTGGCCAGATCTCAGCTCATTGCAAGCTCCGCCTCCCGGGTTTTTACGCCATTCTCCTGCCTCAGCCTCCGGAGTAGCTGGGACTACAGGCGCCCACCACCTCGCCCGGCTAGTTTTTTGTATTTTTTAGTAGAGACGGGGTTTCACCGTGTTAGCCAGGATGGTCTCGAACTCCTGACCTCGTGATCCGCCCGTCTCGGCCTCCCAAAGTGCTGGGATTACAGGCTTGAGCCACCGCGCCCGGCTATTTTGACAATTTTTGGTAGAGAGAGGGTCAGCCTCTGTTGCCCAGGCTGGTCTCAAACTTCCAGGCTCAAGTGATCCTGGCCTCCTAGAGTGCTGGGATTACAGGTGTGAGCCACCACACCTGGCCCAGAACATTTTAAATTGCACACGCGTCTTACATTACGTTTCTTTCAGACAGCACTGATATAGTTTAGTGGATTATCTTATTCAATTCTCTCAACAGTCTTAGGACTTAGCGACTGTTGTTATTCCCCTGTTTTTTGTTGTTGTTTGTTTGTTTGTTTGAGACAGAGTCCTGTCGCCCAGGTTGGAGTGCAGTGGTGCAATCTCGACTCACCAAACCTCTGCCTCCCGGGTTCAAGTGATTCTCCTGCCTCAGCCTCCCAAGTAGCTGGGATTACAGGCATGCATCACCACGCCTGGCTAATTTTGTATTTTTAGTAGAGATGGGGTTTCTCCATGTTGGTCAGGCTGATCTTGAACTCACGACCTCAGATGATCTGCTCGCCTCAGCCTCCCAAAGTGCTGGGATTACAGGTGTGAGCCACCACGCTCAGCCTCCCCTGTTTTTTTTTTGTTGTTGTTGTTGTCATTGTTTTGTTTTGTTTTTGAGATGGAGTCTCGCTCTGTCGCCCAGGCTGGAGTGCAATGGCGTGATCTCAGCTCACTGCAAGTTCCGCGTCCTGAGTTCACGCCATTATCCTGCCTCAGCCTCCCGAGTAGCTGGGGCTACAGGCACCTGCCACCATGCTGGGCCAATTTTTTGTATTTTTAGTAAAGATGGGATTTCACCATGTTAGCCAGGATGGTTTCAATCTCCTGACCTCATGATCTGCCCACCTTGGCCTCCCAAAGTGCTGGGATTACCGGCATGAGCCACCGTGTCCAGCCCTCCCCTGTTTTTTAAAGAACTTGTTGCATACCAAATTATCCCCTTTTACAGATGGAGAAATTGAGGCACAGAGAGGCAAAGTCACCTGGTCAAGGTCACCCAGCTCATAGGTGGTGGATTCAGGATTTGAACCCAGGCAGCCTGGCCCTAGGGTCCTGTTCTCATGCCCTTTACTCTGTCACCTCTCTCATAAGTTCACTTTGTCCTCACAACACTATTCAAGGTGTGTGTCTACCATCCCCAGTTACCAGAAGAGAAAACTGAGGCTCAAAGAGATAAAGTCCCTTGCCTTGAGCTACACAGAGTAAAGGATGGAGGGGAGACTCCAAACTCAAGCACACCAGTGTCCAAATCCAACGTGCTCAGGCTCACTCATGCATACACACATGTGCACACACATACACACACACACATGCTGTCCCCATTACCTTCTTCACACACACACACACACACACACACGTGCTGTCCCCATTACCTTCTTCAGACGTCAGGTCCAGCTGGACACACTCAGTTTCCCCACTGGGACACTGCATGTAGAAGGAAGAATTGCAGGGCTCCAAGGAGCTCCCAGGACATGTAGGACACAAGATCTCACTCAGGGTGTGTGAGGCCAGATAAGCTGCTGTGTAGAAGAGGATGAGGGTCAGTCAGAAGGAATCTCAGAACCTCCCGGAGCCCTTGGTGCACTCCTAGGCTCTACCACATTGTCACGACCTTAATATTGTCACGACCTTGACATTGTCATGACCTTGATGGGATTTCCTCCCAAGCTGGGGTCAGGGTGCCTGAGGGCAGCCTGGTTGTGGATGGGGGTTGAGTGATGTTCCTTCCTGCATTCCTTCCCGAACTTTGCCTCCAGAGTCACCCACCACCTCCGTGGCCACCCATCTGACTGCTTTCTGGTGACAGCATACCGAGAGGGGTGGGCTTCTGGCAGTTGCCTTGGCAACAGGTGGTGTTGACCCAGAAGCCAAAGCCAACGCCGTAGGTCAGGGCATAGATGGAGTTGCCAAATTTGCAGTCCTTGGAAGTCACACAGAAACCGTTTCTCCAGGAGACAAGGTTACCTTCTCCAAAGTCTGGAGAGAGATGGAGGCCAGGTTAGTGAGGAAAGGCAATCACAACCCACCACCCAACCGAACTCCCCAAATCTCTCTGGGTATTTCCCTGATGGCATTCACTCTGCCTGAGATCTCCCCATAATACATCCAAAACTGGTCATTGTTCATTAAGACACATGAAGTTCAGGCTGGGGGCAATGGTTCACGCCTATAATCCTGGCACTTTGGGACAGGAGGATCACTTGAACCCAGGAGTTCAAGAACAGCCTGGCCAACATAGTAGGACCCCCGCCTCTACAAAAAAAATAAAATTAGCCAGACATAGTGGTGCAGTCCCAGCTACTTGGGAGGCTGAGGTGGGAGGGTCGCTTGAGCCCAGGAGGTCAAGGCTGCAGTGATCCAAGTTTGCACCACTGCACTCCATCCTGGGTGACAGAGTGAGACCTTGTCTCAAAACAACAACAACAATAAAAAATCACATAGTTCAGAAAGCCTTCCATGATCCCCTGCCTTCTCTCCTTAGTGTTCCAATTAATAGGGCGGCTCTGTACCTGGGAAGTCTCCCCACCCTGTCTATGAGCATCTCATGGGCTTAGTAAGAAACTTCTCTAAGATCCCAGAAATATCTAGAACTGGAGACTGGAACACCATCTTTATTATGCCTCTTTATGCTGTAAAAAGATAGCAAAGAGCCGATTTCAAGTTGAACTCCTCTTCCCATTTACAGAAGAGTCCACTTTTTCCTTCTGTGGGGGCAGAGTGACAGGAGCCTTAAGGGGGGCTGCCTGCCCAGAGTGTTGTAGTAGATACCAAGATGGCCACAACTGTATCCCCCATCCTGCATGCTCTTGTGCAACCTAACCTTGCCACTCTGTCATCAAGAGGTGGAATCTATTACCTTACCCCTTAAATCTGAGCTGGCCTTGGGATTTGCTCTGACAAATAGACTGTGGCAGAACTGACACTGTGACAGTTCTGGGTCTATCACTTAGAAGGCCTGGCTGTGGCCACACACAGTGGCTCACGCCTGTAATCCCAGCACTTTGGGAGGCCAAGGCGGGCAGAGCACGAGGTCAGGAGATCGAGACCATCCTGGCTAACAGTAAAGTTGAAACCCCGTCTCTACTAAAAAAATACAAAAAATTAGCCGGGCGTGGTGGCGGGCGCCTGTAGTCCCAGCTACTCGGGAGGCTGAGGCAGGAGAATGGAACCGGGAGGCGGAGCTTGCAGTGAGCAGAGATCGCGCCACTGCACTCCAGCCTGGGCAACAGAAAAAAAAAAGAAGAAGAAGGCCTGGTTGTTCCCACTTGTTCCTTCTCAGAAGCCAGTCACCATACTGTAAGGAAGCTCAAGCTAGGAAACTGACTGGTGAGAGCTCAGAGGAGAGATCCTCTCCCCAGCTGTCTTGAACATTCCAGTTGCAGTCAAGCTCCCAGCTGAATGCAATCACATAAGTGACCTCAGCCTTTACCACTTAGAGCAGAACTGCCCAGCTGAGCCCAGTCAGCTGCAGAATTGTGAGAAATAACAAATACTCGTCTAATCTGAGAAGCTTATTTTGCCAATTGTGATTTTTTTTTTTAAATCACACAGTATAATATATACCCTCTTAACCTTTAAAAAAAAATAGAGATGGGGTCGCACTATGTTGCCCAGGTTGGTCTTGAACTTCTGGCCTCAAGTGATCCTCCTGCCTCAGACTCCCAAAGTGCTGGGATTACAGGCATAAACCATCATGTGTGGCTTTCTTAATAATTTTTTTTTTTTGAGACGGAGTCTCACTCTGTCACCCAGGCTGGAGTGCAGTGGCATGATATTGGCTCACTGTGTCCTCCGCCTCCCACGTTCAAGCGATTCTCCTGCCTCAGCCTCGCAAGTAGCTGGGACTACAGGTGCATACTACCACACCCAGCTAATTTTTATATTTTTAGTAGAGATGGGGTTTCACCATGTTGGCCAGGCTGGCCTTGAACTCCTGACCTCAGATGATCCGCCTGCCTTGGCCTCCCAAAGTGCTGGGATTAAAGGTGTGAGCCACCATGCCCAGCTGGCCTTCTTAACAATTTTTAAGTGCACCATTCAGTAATGTTAACTATATTCACATTGTTGCGTGTAACAGATCTCTAGAACTCATTTTGCACAACTGAAACTGTACCCATCGAACAACTTCCATTTCCCCCTCCCACAACCTCTGGCAACCGCCATTCTATCTTCTGTTTCAATGATTTTGACTACTCTAGATAACTCAGTGAAATCATACAGTATTTGTCTTTTTATGACCGGTTAAGCCACTAAGTTCTGACCAATTCGTTATTCAGCAGTAACTTAAACAACAATGGCAGTAGATTTTAAACTCACACCCTCCACTGCACCCCAGCCTCTGTCCTGCATGCCCAGGAAAAGGCTACAATGGCTGGAGCTAGGCAGCAAAGTGGGAGAGTGAGGATAGGTCTTGCTGTGCCCTAGGCCCTGTTTCTGTCCCCATGGGCACTCACCTGTGATGCCTGCCATCTGAAGGCAGTAGTTATTATCCTCTGGGCACGGAAGTGGGCCACAGCTGTGGAGGTCTGAGCAGGTGAAGCAGATGGTGGTCTCAGCTTTGGCGTGTGTCACAGTTGCATGAGGACCTGGGGACAGAGGAAGATGAACCGGACGGAAGACAACCAGTGTGCATGCATGTGCATGGAGCTGAGTTTCTGGGCACATCAATATGTGCCCATGAGTGCGCAAAAGTGCCTTCGTGTGCGCACTTCTGCAAGAATGCCATTTGTGTGTGCAAGTTTGCAGGCCTGTTAAGTCTGTGTGCACATCTGGCTGCGCCTTCCTGTGTTGAATTATCTGTGTGTTTCTGAAACTGTCTGCAGGAGGGCAGGGATGTGTCCCACTTCTTCTGGTTGTTCCCACTTCTTCCTTCTCAGAAGCCAGTCACCATACTGTAAGGAAGCTCAAGCTAGGAAACTGACTGGTGAGAGCTCAGAGGAGAGTGTAGCTCTGCAGGACACTGTGTGAGTAAGTGTTTACCTGCATGTCTGTATAAACAAGGGTGTGTGTTTATGTGTATGTGTATAAAGCTGGTTTTAAGGGTATGTGTGTGTTTCTGTGGCTGGGTGTGTTTGTGTTTCCATCAAGGTGTGGGGGTGCTTATATATATATATAGATATGTTGGTGTACAGATGTGAACGTTCGTGGATGTTGGTAATGTATTTCAGCTTGCCTGTGTATATTTTGTGCTTTTGTATGCTTGTGGGTGCTTGTGCCTCTTTTCCACGTCATGTATATGAAAGCCTGTGTGTCCATGCATAGATATGTTCCGTGTCTGTGTCCACAGGGATCATGTGTGCAAAAATTCCGTGTCCCACATTTCTGTTGTCAGTCTTCCTATTTTGCCCTTTTTCTTTCCGTATTGTAAATTTTGAGCTCCTAAGTCAGCCTTTTTTCTTCATTGTGATAATTAATTAAATCTGCTGTAAATTACAGACTCACGCCTGTAATCCCAGCACTTTGGGAGGCTGAGGCGGACCAACATGGCAAAACACTGTCTCTACTAAAAATACAAAAAATACAAAAATTCACCAGGTGTGGTGGTGCGTACCTGTAATCCCAGCTACCTGGGAAGCTGAGGCAGGGAGAATAGCTTGAACCCAGGAGGCGGAGGTTGTAATGAACCAGGATCACACCATTGCACTCCAGCCTGACTGACAGAGTGAGACTCTGTCTCACAAAAAAAAAAAAAAAAAAAAATCCACTGCTCAGTTTAAAAAAGGAAAACTCCTGGCAGCTGGAGATTTGAAGAAGCTAAGGTGAGAATGTTTCAGCTTTGCCTGAAAATTCAGTAAACACACTCTTTGATGAGCCTTTTTTTTTTTTTTTTGAGACAATCTCGTTCTGTCACCCAGGCTGGGGTGCGATGACGCGATCTCGGCTCACTGCAAGCTCTACCTCCTGGGTTCACACCATTCTCCTGCCTCAGCCTCCTGAGTAACTGGGACTACCGCCGCCACGCCTGGCTAGTTTTTTGTATTTTTAGTAGAGACGGGGTTTCATCGTGTTAGTCAGGATGGTCTCGATCTCTTGACCTCGTGATCCTCCCACCTCAGCCTCCCAAAGTGCTGGGATTATAGGCATGAGCCACCACGCCAGTAAACACACTCTCTTTTGCATCACAGAATGGTCCTTCAGCTTTGGCAACACAAGGAGGACCTAGCCTCTAAAAAAAAATTTAAAAATCAGCTGAGTGTAGCAGTATGTGCCTGTGGTGCGAGCTGCTCAGGAGGCTGAGGCAGGAGGATCACTTAAGCTTGGAAAGTCAAGGCTGCAGCGAACCATGATCGTGCCACTGCACTCCAACCTGGGTAACAGAGGGCGACTCTGTCTCTAAACACACACACACACAGAATGGTCCTTTCTGGTGTAGTTTCTAACACAGTTTCCTCTATATCTCTGGAACTGAGGGAAGGCAGCTCTATCCAGAGAAAATTGCCTTTCTCACCTCTAAAACATCTATCCCTCTGTTGAGTTGGTTGAATTGCTTAATAAACTGTGGCCCCAGTAAATACTATTTCAATTAGCATATCACTTTTGTGGAAGACAAAACTTCTTGTGAATGTTCTTTGTTAAGCCAAAATAAGACTATTGGCAAATCTGTCTTCTTTCACAAGCAAGGAAGTGAAGAAAAGAGAGAAACCACCATCAAATTTTTCTTTTCTTTTTTTTTTTTTTTTTTTTTGAGACAGAGTCTCGCTGTCGCCCAGGCTGGAGTGCAGTGGCCGGATCTCAGCTCACTGCAAGCTCCGCCTCCCGGGTTCACGCCATTCTCCCGCCTCAGCCTCCCGAGTAGCTGGGACTACAGGCGCCGCCACCTCGCCCGGCTAATTTTTTGTATTTTTTAGTAGAGACGAGGTTTCACCGGGTTAGCCAGGATGGTCTCGATCTCCTAACCTCGTGATCCGCCCGTCTCGGCCTCCCAAAGTGCTGGGATTACAGGCTTGAGCCACCGCGCCCGGCCAAATTTTTCTTTTCTTCCTTTTTTTTTTTTTTTTTTGAGAAGAAGTCTTGCCCTGTCACCCAGGCTGGAGTACAGTGATGCAATCTCAGCTCACTGTGACCTCTGCCTACCGAGCTCAAGCCATCCTCCTACCTCAGCCTCCCAAGTAGGTGGGACCACAGGCGCATGCCACCATGCCTGGCTTTGTTTTGTTGTTGTTGTTGTTGTTTTGTAGAGACGGTGTTTTGCCATGCTGCCCAGGCTCAGATCCATTTAAACAGAGTGTGGATCTTTAATCTCACTCACATAATATGTTCACAGTATGTTCATGTTTAGAAATTTATGTGCCTCTGCATATTTGTTTTGGGTGCTAGGATGTAAATGTGGATGTTTGTGGATATGTGCCAATAGATGTTCTGCTTCTGAGTGTGTCAGGTGGGGTGTGTGTGTGTATGGGTAATTCTACTCATTGGGAGCATTATCATAGGGAATGTGGACACCTTGGGAACACATAGGTTTGAAAAGAGCATATGGGATCCAGGGAGGTAAGAAAGGCAGGGTTCAAAGCACCTGGCTGTGTAGGAGGAGTAAGGTAGTTGCATTCAGGCTTAGCAGTGAGATGAAATCCAGAGTCTTCTGGACCCAGGGTGGCATTCTTATGTAAGTTGCAGACCTCTGGTGTAGCACAGCCCTTCAGAATTTGGGGACTCCCTGCAGAAATGAGAGGAGATTGCAACAAGAGGCTCAGAGTCCAACCCTCCCACCTTGATGTCTATCTTTTGCTATCTGAAAGTTCCCATCTTAGTAGTTCTATATGATTCAGTTTCAAATCTACCTGGTCAGTTTTTACAACCTCTTGTTGCCTGCTCACATTTGTGATTCTAAGTTTATTCCTTCAGACATATCATATACCGTTATGCTATGTTCTACAGCTGATAATTACAATAGCTGAGCTCCTCACAGGTCTGTATCTGTGATTTGTTATTTCTGCTATCACTCATGGTGGCTTGTTTCCTTGTGCCTTTCATGAACTATGATTGTCAGCTCATATTTGGTTGATATTCATCTGTGGGAATCCTGGGAGCTTTTCCCTGGAAAGGACTTGCTTTTGCTTCTACTGAGTGCCAGGAGGTGCTACTGACCAGGGATCATTTCGGCCTCTGTCCAAGGTCCCTAGCTTATGTGGGAATCTAAATTCCAGAAGCATGCTGCCAGCCCAAAACCTATTTACCTAAAGCAGGCTATTATCAGCATTTGCTCCCAGACCACTGTGCCTTCCATGTTTTCTCACTGCTCCCATTCTGATTTCTGTTCACATTTTTGTTTTGCTTAGGGACACGTGGAAATTTTCTTAACTTTCTGCAACCCAAAAAAGTGTGGAAAAGTATTTCTGTAGGATCTTGTTCATCTGTAAACAGTGGCATACTAAGCAGGGGTAGGGAACGGGAGCAGTCCATCCTGGGAATAGGCTATAAGGGGTTTATTGTCTATAGAGAATTTTTTTTTTTTTTTTTTTTTGAGACAGAGTCTCACTATGTCACCTAGGCTGGAGTGCAGTGGCACAATCTCGGCTCACTCCTACCTGAGCCTCTCAAGTAGTTGAGATTACACGTGTGTGCCACCATACTCGGGTAATTTTTGTATCTTTAACAGAGACGGGGTTTCACCATGTTGGCCAGGTTATTCTCAAACTCCTGTTCTCAAGTGATCCACCTGCCTCAGTTTCCCAAAGTGCTGGGATTACAGGCATGAACCACCATGCCCAGCCTATAGAGAATTTTTTAAAATCATAAAACCAACTAAAAGATCAGTTTGCTTTTTATTATCACCATGTAGTACCAGCAATTCTAAACAATGTCAGTGATAAAATGCTCCTCCCCACCATGATGGGCCACCTCCTCTATTTCACTGTCTCTGTCCTCCACCTTCCCAGTATGCCACTGTTTGGAGCAAAAGACCTTTTAGAGGATCAAGTCCACCATACTGCCAAAAGCAGAAGCCCAAGTTACTGCTCTCGATTATTTGTTTGGCTTCATAATTAGTTTATCCTCTGGCTACTGTGGTTATATTATAAATCTTTTGCTGAAAAGTCCTCTTCTCCAACTGTTTGCAAATCATAGTGGTGATTTAAAAAATACCTCTGCAAATCTATGACACGTCAACAAGTGGGGTCCATGCCTCTTCCATCTTGAAACCAGATGGAACTTTTGTGACCATTTCAATCAATAAAGCAGAATAGAAGTCGTATTACGTGATTTCCAAGGCTGAGCCATAAAGACCAAGCTGCTATAACTTTGTTTGCTGAATGAAATCATTAGCAACCATGTAAAAAGCCTTGAGGTAGCCATGATGGGAGGAAGCTCAATCTAACCAATGTGGAGAGGCCACATAGAAAGGCCCTGTTAGGCCGGGCGCGGTGGCTCAAGCCTGTAATCCCAGCACTTTGGGAGGCCGAGGCGGGTGGATCACGAGGTCAGGAGATCGAGACTATCTTGGCTAACACGGTGAAACCCCGTCTCTACTAAAAAAAAAAATACAAAAAACTAGCCGGGCGTGGTGGCGGGCGCCTGTAGTCTCAGCTACTCGGGAGGCTGAGGCGGGAGAATGGCGTGAACCCGGGAGGCGGAGCTTGCAGTGAGCCGAGATCGCGCCACTGCACTCCAGCCTGGGAGACACAGCGAGACTCCGTCTCAAAAAAAAAAAAAAAAAAAAGAAAGGCCCTGTTTTTACATATATGCAAGAGGTGCTCAGAAAGCCCCTGGTTATTCCTGCCCCAGCAGTTCCAGCTCCTAACACCCTCTGACTACAACACGTGAGAGACCCTGAACTCTTTCCAAAGGAGCTCTTCCTGAATTCCCAACCCAAAGCGATTCTACACCTGGCCCCAGAATAAGTTTTCAGGGGCTGCAAGGAGCGTTTGAGACCTGAGGCTGGGCACAATGGCTTACGCCTATAATCCCAGCACTTTGGGAGGCTGAGGCAGGTGGAAGGCTTGAGCCCAGGAGTTCCAGACCAGCCTGGGCAACATGGCAAAACTCCATCTCTACAAAATGCAAAAAAATTAGCCAGGTATGGTGGCACGTATCTGTAGCCGCAGCTACTCAGGAGGCTGAGGTGCGAGGATTGCTTGAGCCCAAGAGGCAAAGGTTGCAGTGAGCCAAGATTGTATCACTGCACTCTAGCCTGGGCGACAGAGCAAGACTGTCTAAAAAAAATTCATGCAGTTATAATCATACCTGGCATTTTATATTCTGAATAGCATGCCCACCTCTTAACTTGAACCTGGGGTTTTATTTTGCTGAGAGACACAATTTAAGAGGGAAATTAGACACAAATTAGGAAGCGGGAAATCCCACTCATTTGAAAGGATGGCTACCTCTCCCCATTGCTACATCTGCCAAGTACGAATTCCTTCTTAGAAGAAATAACCAAGCAACGAAAAGTGATCTTTTTCACCACCCAGGGACAGGTCTAGGTGACACCAGGGGCCCAGAATTTGAGGAGGCACGACTTTTCACGGTTGTGCAAGTAGAGGGCCATCCGTTAGAGTAAGCATCTCCTTAAATTTTGCACCCTGTGGCTGGGCACGAGGGCTCACACTTGTAATCCTGGAACTTTGGGAGGCCAAAGTATGTGGATTGTTTGAGGCCAGGAGTTTGAGACCAGCCTGGCCAACATGGGGAAACCCTATATCTGCTAAAAATACAAAAAACTCAGCCTGGTGTGGTGGCATACGCTTGTAATCCCAGCTACTCAGGTGGCTGAGGGAGGAGAATTGCTTGAACCCAGGAGGCAGAGGTTGCAGTGAGCCAAGATCACACCACTGCACTCTAGCCTGGGCGACAGAGTGAGACTCTGTCAAAAAATTTTTTAAAAAAAATTTTTTTTGGCATCCTGGGCTCCTGGCTGGGCTCACCCTAGACCTGGGCCTGTCACCACTTGTGAGGTTTTATGTTCTGTTTGACTAGCCTTCAAGGGGAGCCCCTCTATTAAAGACAAAAAAAGAGGCTGGGCACAGTGATTCATGCCTGTAACCCCAGCACTTTGAGAGGCCCAGGCGGGCAGATCACTTAAGGTCAGGAGTTTGAGACCAGACTGGCCAACGTGGCAAAATCCCAACTCTACGAAAAATACAAAAATTAGCTGGATGTGATGGTGTACACCTGTAATCCCAGCTACTCATGAGGCTGAGCCATGAGAATCATTTGAACCAGGGAAGTGGAGTTTGCAGTAGGCCAAAATTGCGCCATTGTACTCCAGCCTGGGCAATAGAGCGAGACTCTGTCTCAAAAAAAGAAAAAAAGAGAAAAAAGAGAGAGAGAGAGAGACAGAAAAGAGCTTGGAGTTCTCTTTAGCCTCCCAATATTCAATAAACATGGCAACAAAAGGAGTGTCTACCACATGCCAGCTTAGGGGATGAACACCCTTTAAAATCTACATCACACCCATTCTCCAGATGAGAAAACTGAGGGTCTCCTTCTTGCCCCAATCAGTCAGACAAAAGGTTGTGAGGCAGGAAATTGAGGCCGGGTCCGCATCACACCCTACCCTGGTGTGTGAGCCCGAGGTCCCCCCAACAAACCTTGCTGGGGAAGGTTACTGCAGTTGTTTTCACAACAGGCTGTGCTGACCCAGAGACTTGCATGGGGGCCGTAGGTCAGGGCATAGACACCTTCTTGGCATTCTCCAGGGGCCACACATGACCCCTTCTCAATGAGAGTCCCATTTTCTAGGGATAGAGGTTGAGGAAGGGAGATTAGGGTCCCTGCTTTCCAAGCCCTCCAGGACCTCTGCCCACTCTATAGCAATCCCCATGGTCAATCCAGGGCCTCTTCTGCTGTTGAGCTCCCCTCTGCCCTTTACCCCAGCAGCACCAGGCTGAGCTATGAGGCAGGGCTGGCAATCTCCAGTCCCAGGATGCCTCATCCATGCCCCCCTTCCAACCACCGCCTTTGTCCATTCTTTCCACCCAGCCCCTGTCCAGTCCCCAGCCCGGTCCCCCACCCAGCTGCATCTGGCTAAACAAGCAGGAGTCCTGGGCAGAAGGAAAGTTATTTCAGTGCAGTTTCGCAGCAAAGAGCAGGCTGGACATGTCTTGGAGCTTCCTGCAAGGAAGAGAACAGCGATCAAACTCTGCAGTTTGAGAAGGACAAAGAACACAAACACACACACACACACACACACACACACACAAAATTCAAGAATAGGACTAGTCAGGCATGGTGGCTCATGCCTGTAATCCCAGCTACTCAGGAAGCTGAGGATGACTTGAGCCCAAAAGTTCAGGCTGCGGTGAGCTAAGATTGCACCACTGCCCTCCAGCCTGAGCAACAGAGTGAGATCCTGTCTCTAAAATAAAATAAAATAAAATAAAATAAAGAATAAAACTAAGGGCTGGCGGGGGAGGGCCATTGGGAGATCAACAACCTTCTTTGTTGTGAGGAGTGCGAATGGCATTCCAAGTCGATAAAACAATGCAGGCAAAGGTTTGGAGATGGGAATCACCGAATCTCTAAGTGGGAGCTGCTGGGTTTACAGTTTCAATTCAAGATCACACAGTGAGGTCCTGGCCAGGATCCAAACCACTTAATTCCCAACTCAGGCAAAGGTGGCAGAATTAGAGCCAAAGGGGAGACAAGCAGACGAGGTAAAAGAGTAACAGCAACTGCTCCTGGATAATCCAGCAGAGCTCACCCTCAAACAGAGCCATTGCCAGGCTGGCACTGTTCTGAAATCCTCAAACATGTGGATTCAACCAATGCCTCAACAACCCTCTGAGGCAGGGGCATTGTCACCACTTCACAGAAAAAATGAGGCAAGAGAGGTTATGTGGTTTGTCTGGAGTCACACAGCTAAGAGGTGGCAGAGTCAGGATTTGAACACAGGCAACCTGGTTCCAGAACCAGGTTCTCAGCCGCCCTGTTCTTCTGCCTCTGCCAGACAGTGAGCCCAGTTGGAAGGACCTGGGGTCCAGACTCTGAAGCTGGACTCCCACCACCCCATGTGACCTTGAGCCGACCCTCTCCCTTTCTGATGGACCACGACTCGCTCACCTGCTGGGGCGGCCAGCGCTCCCAGGAGCACCAGGGCAGAGAGCAGCCAGAGCATGGTCCAGGCCGGAGAGGAGGACGCAGGACATAGGTGCCCTTGCCTTTTATTCAAGGGCCTTGGTCAGGGTAGCAGCCCCGGAAGAGGGAGAGCAAATAGGCCGGGAAGATAGCGGCCCCTCCCACCCTCCTGGCCACTGGGACACCCGGCAAGAGAGGGGACTGAAAGAGCATCGAGATGGGGAAACTGAGTCCTGAGAGGCATGTGGGGAAAGCCTGGGACTACTCAGTGAGGCCAGAGAAGGACAGGGGGACATGTTATTATTATTATTATTACTACTATTAATAGGTTGTGTCCAGGCGCAGGGGCTCGTACCTGTAATCCTAGCATTCTGTGAGGCCAAGGTGGGAGGATTGCTTGAGCCCAGGAGTTAAAGACCAGCCTGAACAACATAGTGAGACCCAGCCTCTAAAAAAAAATTTAAAAATTAGACAGGTGGGCCAGGCGCAGTGACTCATACCTTGAATCTTAGCATTTCGGGAGGCCAGGGTGGGCAGATCATTTGAGGCCAGGAGTTAGAGACCAGCCTAGCCAATATGGCGAGACTCTGTCTCTACTTAAAAAAAAAAAAAATTAACCAGGCATGGTGGCGGGCGCCTGTAGTCCTAGCTACTCGGGAGGCTGAGGCAGGAGAATTGCTTGAACCCGGGAGGCAGAGATTGCAGTGAGCTGACATCATGCCACTGCACTCCAGCCTGGGCGACAGAGCGAGACTGTCTCAAAAATAAAAAAAAAAAGCATTTGAAGCCCCAAATCTTTCTCTCTCAGGTCCCATATACTGGTTCTTAACCCTTCTCTTTCTTTCTTTTCTGATGTCTTTCCCCACTAACACCCCTTCCCCTTCTGCTTCATAACCTCAACCTATAAAAACTTATCCCCTTAAAACCAGGCTGTCTGACGACACTGAGGTCCTCAAATTTCTTATGTCTCTGGAACTAATGAACTCCATGCTATATCCAAGGCATTTCCTGAAGTTACTGAAGAGCCCCATCATTTTGCCGATAAATTTAACTTCACAGTTCAGGCTTACCCATCCAGCTTCTCTGATTTTTACCAACTTGTTTTGCATACTTGCGGGAGAAGGCTGGGCCCGACACTGGATGGCAAAAGCCGATTAGGGCCGGGTGCGGTGGCTCACAACTGTAATCCCAGCGCGTTAGGAGGCCGAGGCAGGCGGATCACAAGGTCAAGAGATTGAGACCATCATGGCCAACATGGTGAAACCCTGTCTCTACTAAAAATACAAAAAATTAGCTGGGTGTGGTGGTGCGTGCCTGTAGTCCCAGCTTCTCGGGAGGCTGAGGCAGGAGAATCACTGGAACCCGGGAGGCGGAGGTTTCAGTGAGCCAAGATTGCGCCACTGCACTCCAGCCTGGGTGACAGAGTGGGACTCTGTCTCAAAAAAATAATAAAAATAAAAATTAGCCAGGCACGGTGGTGCACACCTACAGTCCCAGCTACTCGGGAGGCTAAGGTGGGAGAATTGCCTGAGCCCAGGAATTAGAGGTTGCAGTGAGCTATGATGTCGCCAGTGCACTCCAGCTTTGGTGACAGTGAGACTCTGCTCTAAAAAAGAAATAATAATAATAATATAAAATAATAATGAGTTGCCTCATCACTCATTATAGACGTTAGCTCACAAAATCCTTACAGTAATCCTACCAGCCATTATCATTAACCCCAGGAAGGATACTCAAAATATTTGACCACCTGTCAATATAGCCAGGGTATTGGCAGTAACAATTCTGCCCAATTGCTAGAGTATCATCCTGGTGGCCACCAGGGACCCAGTCTTTCCCTCATCTTTCTAGAACATGAGGATGTCTGGGAGGACCCAGAGATGCCATCAGGGCACTCAAGGCCTCCAGACAGGGGAATTTTATCGACCAAATCTGGACATACCTCAATATTTTAACAACCAGTACAAATGAAACCAGCCCTGGGGTTCCCTCTTTTACAAAGAAAGGAACCAGGGCTCAGAGCAGTCAAGGCCTTGTCCAGGGGCATGCAATAAGAAAATCAGCACAACCAGGATTTGAACCCAAACGTCTCTGGCTTGAGCACAGGGCAGTTACCAAGAGGGAAATTGATCTGCCCTCTCTGGATAAGACCTGCGTCGCTCTTGTCCCGCCTCTCCCTGGGCCACCTTGATTTTCACACTTGTTCAATGGGAATAAGATCAATTTCAACCACTCCGTGAGCGGCCTTCCAGCCTGGTGCCTGGCAAGTCCACCCTTCATGGGCTTTGACACCCCACCTGCTCCTCCTATGAGGTGCAACTCTGGGGATGTCCCTTCCCCTATTTCAGGCCTCAGTGTGCTCATCTGCTAAATGGGTGTAGCCCAGGGCCTGGATTGCTGTAAGTTGTAAGTGCCCTCCTTTTTTTTTTTTTTGGAGATAGAGTCTCACTCTGATGCCCAGGGTGGAGTGCAGTAGCACGATCTCAGCTCACCGCAACCTCCACCTCCCAGGTTCAAGTGATTCTCCTGCCTCAGCCTCCCAAGTAGCTGGGACTACAGGTGCCCACCACCATGCCCAGACAAATTTTTGTATTTTTTAAAGTAGAGACAGGGTTTCACCATGTTGGTGGTCTCCAACTCCTGACCTCAAGTGATCCTCCTGCCTTGGCCTCCTAAAGTGCTGGGATTACAGGCTTAAGCCATGGTGCCCAGCTTGCCTCTTTACTAATGCTAAATGGTGGCTCTGTTAGGATTGGAGGTATTTGTAGTAGTGATGCTTGGGCTTTAAGGAAACCGCACACCGGTCCAGAGGAGTGATGAACGCTTTGGAACCAGACAATCCGAGTTCAAATTCCAGTTCTGCCACTTCCAAGCTAAGGGGCCTTGGGCAAGACATTTTACCTACTGGGCCTCAGTTTCCTCATTTGTAAAACAGGGCAACTAGGAGGACCTCCATCGAAGGGCTGCTGTGAGGATTGAGTTGATTTATGTAGAGCACTTAGAACAGTGGGCAGTAACTGCTGTTGTCATTGTGGTCGTCGTCATCATCATCATTATTTAGCAACAAAAATAAGGCTGCTAAGGGGGCAAGTTGAGGTTGACCTCCCCTCTTGGCTCAGAGGAGAGATCCCAAGCAAGAGAAAGGACAAGTTCAAGGTCACCCACGGGCCTGCCAGGCTTCCCAGAATCCCAGGTGGGGCCCCTGAATCAGTGTGTACAATCAAGGAGGTGACTCTGGAAGGTGCCAAGCCTAGGAAGGAAAGATAGCAGCCTGGGGATGGGGAGGTGGCTTTTCTCGATGGGGTGCCAGGGCAGGGAGAAGTCTGTGGTCTTGGCTCATATCCTTCCCAGGTAAACCCAGAACCCTTTGGTGCAGGAGAGGTGAGAAGACGGGACAGTGAGTCCCCCAGCGAGTCTGGAGTGTGGATAGGAGGGAGCAGCAGCTGGCACTTTGTGACTAGGGGAAGCCAGTCTCTCTAGATGCTATCATCACTGATAACTCGGGTTGGGTGACAGGCCAGGAGCTGCACAAACACGAGGCTAGTGGACTGAAGAATGAAGAGCAGGCACGCAGGGAAGGGACATTTCCCTGCACTTCACTTGAAATGTGGAGGCAAGGGGGCATCAGACGAGTTGTTTTGTTTTTTATTTTTTGTTTTGAGACAGAGTTTAGCTCTGTCACCCAGGCTGGAGTGCAGTGGCACAATCTCTGCTCACTGCAGCCTCAACTTCCCATGCTCAAGCGATCCTCCCACCTCAGCCTCCTGAGTAGCTGGGACTACAAGCACAAACCACCACACCCAGCTAATTTTTTTACTTTTTGTAGAGACAGGGTCTTCCTGTGTTGCCTAAGCAGGTCTCAAACTCATGGGCTCAAGTAATCCTCCCACCTTGGCCTCCCAAAGTGTAAGGATTACAGGCATAAGCCACCACGCCCAGCACCGAAAAGTTATTTAATGCATATACTCTACAAGCAAATATAGACATATGCCCTCCTCCTTTTTCTTTTCTTTCTTTTTTTTGTTTTTTAATATTTATTTATTTATTTATTTATTTATTTATTTTTGAGACAGACTCTCGCTCTGTCACTCAGGCTACAGTGCCGTGGTGCCGTCTCAGCTCATTGCAACCTCCGCCTCCCGGGTTCAAGC